TGTATTTTTAAAACTGTTCAATGATCCACTGTGTAAACTCTCCATCTGAAAGCTGTCAAATAAATATAGTACAATGAAAGAACGGCGTTTCCTTCTGATGTGTAAGAATACAGCAGCAGAAAATGAAAATATTCAAGATTTTTGGGTTTAATGCATAAACTTTGACCTATTTAACTTTTTTGTACCGTACCTGCGAGTTAGCACATTATTTAACCAAACAAGCCATGCAAGTACAATGAGCCCTGGAAGATCATAGACTGTATATAAATGTTCCTTAGACCTGCATTCTTTCTCATGGCCAGCAGGGGGCGACTCCTCTGGTTGATACTATAGAGAAAATGACTCTACTTCACCTTTGATTTGTTCCCTCAGTAAACATTTTCCTGATGAGTTTATGGTCCTAGTTGCTAAATTTAAGTCTCCTTTAATCCACCATGATGTTCATTTTGTAAATCATGATCCCATTTAGATGAAAATGAAGTATGGTTTGCTTTAGGACCCGTCTATCTTGAGATACAGCTAGCTGTATATAATGTCCTCCAGTTCTTAGTCAGTTCCACTGTAGCTTGTCAGATCTAGTGTCAGGTAGTGACAGACAAATATTAAATTTAGAGGCTTTAAAATAATCCACAAACCAAAAGGTGACGTCACTGTCACTGTGTGCACCTTTTCTATTCAGTCTATGATCAACAAAGGTGGATACAGCACAGCCATGCATCAATTGTTTTTCCCCTACTTGTATTGCAACCAAAGAAAACCCCAAACAGCATTTATCCCATACACTACGACACCTCCAGCTGCTAACAACATCCGGTGTTAACCTGTCCAGTATGAATTTTGGAATCCATAGAGGTTTCACAGTTATCACCAGTTGTGATACCATCGTAAAGTATCTGGGTCGAGGTGGGAATCCTATAGGTGGTGCCTGTGGGGGGGGGTACATGAATGGATTGCACCATTTGGAAGCTTGAAATTTCTTGATCTCATGCACAAGGCAAGCCTTTATGTGAGGGGGCTTCATCTTTGGTATACGGTATATAGTTCTCATGAATTAAATGGATCTCCAAAGTTAATTCTTTTGATCTCTCGGCTGCATCATTCCCTCCTTGTTATTTGTTCTGTGGAGTCACCAGTTTGTTCAGTCCAGAACTGAAGGTAAAGGCCCTCCAAAGTTTATTAGTTTGGCTGCTAATGGATTAATATACTTATACAGTGCATTTAAAAGTCATCATAACCTCGACTTGTCACCTTACTTGATGTGAGTTGAGTAAAAACGAGTGGTGCAACACAGCTGCCATTGCAACAAAAGCTACGGTGGCAACATCCATTTCAGATTGTCTAATTACCTCAAAGATCATGACTGACGAGCTAAACACAGCTTTCTCTAGCGGTCAGCGGTGCAAATGAAAAACTTCAACAGGTTTTTAACTGTCACTGCAATCCCACTGGGATTAATTAGTCCGAATATCTGTTAGAATTTGACATAAATCTCTGTGGTTAACGTTTAGCCAGAAAGGGATGTTGGAGATTTTCGTTTAGTGCTGTTGAACTGCAAATAAAGTCGGACAGCTGGGTCAGTATGTACATAGAGACTCGCACAGCCAACTTCCCCACAACTGAGGACCAACTTCCTCTTCTCTGTCTGTTGAGTGGAGCCATCTTCTAGTGTATGTGTTTCTTCTACATCTGGCTGAGTCACATATAGACCAACAAACACGTGTTCACGCATCATACAAACACGGTAGCTGCTCGTTCTTTTTTTTGAAAAGGTCTGAACGGCGTCCACCTGCTCGAGGTTCACCTTCTGTGAAAGTTCGACAGGAGAAGCTGCTGCTGCTTGCAGAACGGATGCTCGTGTTTTTGAATGATTGCATGCTAGGTCCTAGCAGAAGTGATCAAAAAATGAAAAGTCCCTGCAGAAATTACTCATACCACCACCTGCAGCTTCAACTGACGGCTTCTTGGCGAAGGCCGATACGTATTCTTTCCGAGACGCTGTTTGAACAATCTGTAAAGCACATTTCAGGTAAAAGTCCCCCATGTTTTAATGTAATGTTCTGTCACGTTGGCAGTCGTGATTGGTCCAAATTCTCCTCAAATTCTACTCTTTACATTCCTCACATTGCTTCTTCCAGCCTGTTAGTTGTGTCGGTGGTGATTTTTTTACTCAAATGTGAGAGGTGTGAAAAAAAAACACAAGATTTGACATAATTACCTTAGGCGCCATCATTTCAAAAAAAATGTCAGGGTATGTTACAGCTTGCGAACGATACGAACAGAGCAAAGACAACAAACCAAGATTCAGAGTAGTTCTAAATCTTTGTCCTGTCTGTAGGATTTTAGGTTAAAAATCGTCATTATGTCACGACAAACATACCAGTTAAACTTAGGGAATGACTGCAGGATAAAGAATAAACACATACATGGATAAATAATATTGATGATCCAGCAAAACCACCGTTAAATGTTGGCTGACTAGTTAAACGTACTTCCTGGTTAACAGAGAACACTTCATAGTTGTGTTGACCCAGCCATCCACACCAACCTCCTCCCTCCATCAACTTAACTTTACTGCTCCTGCTTTTTCCTCCAGATGGACAAAACCCCCACCAACCACCAGCTCGCTTTTAGTTTTACAATCAGTCAATTTAAAATCAACACTTTGATTTTCAGGTTTTTGTTTTTTTTAAACAAACATACCAAAAGTGTTCAGACAGAGTAAAGTCTTTTCACACCTCTCTTCCTGTTTCTTTGCTCCTCTGTTTTAAATCACACACCAGGAAGTTGAGCAACACATGGAAATGCAGTTACAGCACCTGTGGTGCTACCTGCTCGCTGCTCACAGGTCACTTGGAGAAACAACTATGCTGCTTCCTCTTTACTATTTCCTTCATGATGACAACCTTCTCTTTTTTTGCCCCACCTTAAAGGATAAGAAATATGTAGAAGTTCTGATGTGACAGCTGAACCAACACTTCTTATGAGTGAACATATTTCAACAACAAAACCAGGTTTCTAAATGTCACAAAGTGCTTTAAGGTCAAAGCTTAAAGGCATAGATCTTTACTTTCTTGTCGTTACGAACAACTCTCTTTGCCTTTTTCTTTTTTTGATTTCCATCTACAGGAGGGAGTGTGTGCTCCGGGTTCGCTGCATTAAAGCATTTTCCTACATGTTGTGGCCTGTACGGCTCATCCAGCGCCCTCACTGTCAAACACACGCCTTGAGATTTACATGTAACACTGGACAGCCCCTGTTTCTTTCAAAAGAAGTTTAAAAAACAAAACTTTTAGCTTTTGGAGGCAAAACCACACCACAGAGCCACATCACTGCGGAAGCTGATGAAACTTTTAGAGCGCAAAAGCTTCTTTATCAGAACACCTTAAACTCGTAGCCTCGGGCCAAACATCAGCACCATGCATCAGCTGAGCCAACACAATTCAGCGCTTACAGGCAGCTTAAGTTCTAACAAGTAAAGTAAGAAAATAATGGCGTACCCATCTCCCACGACCACACATTTGATAGCCTGCATCCTGTTCCGCTCGGCGACGTCTGAGCTCTTCACTCTGACAGAAACAGACCCGGAGAGGAAGGTTAAGAGACGCAGATGAGCATGCAACTACAGGAAACTATTGCACACCTCCCTCCCTCCCTCCCTCCCTCCCTCTGCTGCGTCTTTCTCTCTCTCAGTCTCCCTCCCTTCATTTTCTTCTCTTCTTCCTGTTTTGTTTTTTTTTTTCTTCTTCCAAGATACAGAACTTCACCAAAGTACGTGCTAATGGTGAAAAAACTGTATTAATGTGAATGATTGAGAAAAGCTGTTGCAATGAATAAAACCTGTGAAATGGTCGTGGAGGAGGAGGAAGATGTTGGCGCAAGAGTTTTATTTAAAACTTCCTCATTTGTTTGATTGCACGTTTGCACTCATGCATGCGACGCAGAACCAGATGAGCACACACGCATGCTTGGAATGTAGCTTTAATTTATTACTTTGATTTAAGAAGTTATTAATAAACCACATTGATAGACACACACACAGTCCTGTTTCTGTTGCTTCACACAATTAGCCTCGCCCTAACCAGAACTGCAACTTGTTTTAGCTTAAGCTTAACTTATCTCAACTCTAGCCTTAGTCTTTATCCTAAGATGTAATAATTAATGGTTTGAGGATTTGTGTTTGAGCGCTAAAAAGGGAGCCACAAAAAAACAGATTTATGTCCCCACAACATGTGCAAACACACTTTTGTATTTGTTGTTAAACTAAAACTGGATTAAGTTTAATCTGAAAAATGGTAGATGCTGCAGATAAATGGAAAATCTTGAACACAACCTGACGCACTCATGATCATGCACCAGCAGCACCTGTGACTTTCCTTTCTAACCACTAGAGGGCACTTCAGCGCCATTTTTGCATCGATCATAACTCTGAGTCTGTACAGCAGAGGGGCTGCTTGATAAATTATTAAGATTATCCACCGCTTGATCTCATTTTAATCCATTTCTAACCATTTTTCAGATTGAAATTTTTTAATACTTTAAGGGAAACTTATCATTCGTCACATCAACCTTTAACAAAAACACCTTGTTTTGTCGTTTGTGCAACACCAACCTGAAATAAAATGACTTTATAAGAATGCAGTTGCCTCCTTTAACACCCTCAGTGTTCCATAACAATGTGCATTTACTGTCCTGAATATAAAATAAGTTGAACTATTTTAAATAACACCCAAGTCAGTAAAGTTGCAGTGACAGGATGCTGCATGTAAAACCTGTGAAACACTTTTCCTCTAATGCAAAAGGTTAAACCGTCAAGTCAGCCTGAGTCAGTGCACCACAGGAAGACAAGGAGGAAGGTAGTATTTTTAAAATAAAAGCGTGTGATTTGCAGAAAAAAGAAAATAAATTGAATTCTTTATTATTGTTATGTAGCTCTAGATGACATCTTAGCCAGCTGCACACTTCAGAGGTGTGAAGGGTTCCCTGCTTACCTCACCGTGTGATGAGATTCCGGCCTTTCAAAACTCCCTTCCTGCGACGTTTTGCAACCACGTTTCATTGAACAACACATTTTCAAAACAGCCTCTGTCAAAGGTACAGCGTCATAACAGCAGAGGGGGAAAAAAAACAAAAAAAAACAACTCAGCTCTACAAAAACTTTATTATTCATCCAAAAAAAGAAAAAAACACACGTTCAAATTTGTGCTACTGCTGTACTTTTCTGTTTTTTTCAATTGCATTGGACTACATGTGTTTGTTTTTTCTGTTTTTGTCAGCTACAGACAGACACGTTGACCTCTCGCATGCTGAGAATAAAACTGACATTCCCCTGACATGCAGAAGTTAACTGATGAATCTGTTTAATAAGTGCTTCATTTTGAAGGACGGCCGTCTGCTCGTCATCCTCTCCGGCTCTGTGCTCATGTGAGCTTGACACGGTGGGGAAGAGGTGGGGTTAAAAGAGAAGGCTTCATTCAGCTGTCACTGCACTGTGTGCTGAGGCTGCAGCCTGCATACTTTGGTATTTCAACTTGACTTGTACGCAACTGTTTTGGTATTTTTATTTTTTTATTTCTAAACCCTGGATATAAATGACTGATTGCCAAATGGGTAAGACCTGCTTTGCTCTTTTCTTCTTCTTCTTCTTCTTAATATAGTTTTTTAAAATCAATTATTATATTTAAGAAGTTCATGGAGACTTTAAAACTTGTGTTGATACGTGTTTTTTGTTCTAAATATGTTATTTGATATTTGAAGATACTGGACAGGGTGTTAGTTTATGATATTATCTGACTTATGTCATTGAATTAAATGATTATCTTTTAATTCATGCCCACCTGTGATGAGGTATTTGACTCTCCTGTATGTGTCTGATGTGGATAATACTAGATTACTTGCCAAATTGGAGACAAAACAGCACTTTTATCTCAACAAGCTGTTGGTGTAGCAGCTTGTCAGACCTTTAAAGTAGGAACAGCTGTCATATAAATAGTGCAGCGAATGCAAACTGCACTCTCTAAGGTGTGACCTAACAGCGCACAGCGAGGGCAGCTAATACCGAGGTTAAGGCAGTACAGTTTTCGGTATACCACTTATCACCAGATGCACCCTGTGGTAAAACCATTTACAGGACACACAGCGTGGGTCTCGGCCGAAATGGGGAAGAGACACTCATACTCACTGGACTGCACATCGCTGACAATAACACAAAAACAGAAGTTCCTATCTTTGGTTAGGTGTCTAGAAAACCCTTTAAAGTCACCGTGTCAGTCTGTAGTTGTTTCATATGCTCTGGTTTATTCAGTTTTTCCACATGATCAAAACCAAAGTTTAAATGGTTTAAATGAGGGGCTCTGGTGACTGAAGTCTGTCAGCTTGGTTGCACAACATGTGTAAAGGAAGGGTGGGGAAGTGGAAGTCCTGTGGTCACATCATCACCAGCTCACATATCTCTACACAAAGAGATGACACTTTTCATTCTGCTAACTTTAAATTCTTAAAGATTTCCCTCTCACTGAGGATAAATCCTGAATCCGTCACTATCTGTGTGACACAAAACGCCACTGAGGGAGCTCGACAGCGCTCTGATCAGGCTCCACTGGTGGCCTGTCAACAACATCCTGACAGGCTAATCATGACACCTTCTATGCTGATGAGAAATATATTTCTTTTTTGTACTTTGAGGTGCTTTTTTTTTCCTCTTGAGGGAGCTTCTTTTTGCTCCCCGATATTCACATCAGGCTTCTACCTCCTCTGCGGTAGTCACAGCTGATTGTCCATGTCAGAGGATAGCGTGAAGAAAGCTGTAAGGAAGTAATCTGCTGACAGAGGATGTTGGCAAATCCAGAGTGTGTGACGCTCGTATGTGTCACGGACTTTCAGTGAAACAGAAGGTCAGTCATCAGATGCTGCACTTCTGAATGGGCCCTGCATATATTCCTATTTCAAATTCCTCACGTACAAAAGTCTTTGTTGTGCACTAAATAAGAAGTCACATGACAAATAGCAAGCGTTCAGAGAGTGTTGTCTCTGGTTCAAAAGCTTCGTTTGGGACCCTGAGAGAGAGAAGTCAGCGATAGATAACAGCAAAAAGGAAAAAAAAAACAAAAAACTCAGTATATATAGTTTGTTTTAATTTCATTTGATTCTATTTATTTTTTTAAAAGTCATTTTTCTTTGCCCACTACTTGATGTGTCCTCCTCTCTCACAGCTTCAGTCCCCACCGAGGCCATAACGGAAGACAAGAGGGTCACGATTACACATGACCTCATTTTATTCTGAACAATAATCTTCCTACGAGAGGCCTCTAGAAGTGATGAGTTTTTACGGCTGCTTTATACAAAAAGAAAAAAATTGTTCAGGAATTTCTCCAAAATTGTAAAAACCGAGATCTGAATTCTACAAGTAAAGCCTGAATGTTGACTGAGGGAAACATCCCAATTCAGACACAGAAATTCAAGATTAAATAATCCTGACTTTGCTCTCAGAAGTCTCTTAATCACATTTTTTACCTGCTAGCTTTAACGCCTTTCCGTAAAAGTTTGGAATTCATCTGAAATGTTAATGGTGTCTCTATAAATCCCCTTCACCTAATAATAATAATATAATAACCTGAGGGTGTCATTTGGTTGATAAAATATAGAAAAATCATTCATTAATATGACATTCTTATCAGTCATAGGAGCCTTTAATGCGTGACTGGGGAGGTTAATGTTTGACAAAATGTAAATGTGAGTCTGTTTCCTGGTGGTTAAATATGCATCCAAACATTTGCATGCTTGTGTTTTTTAAGAAATGTATTAATACCGCGACAGATCGTGACAGATATCATTCATGAGAAAACCACAACACCTGTCTGACATCTCTTCCACAGAAACCTCGATTCCACGTGCTGTTTTTAAAACACACACAGGACGCAGACAGATCCTGCAGCTTTTCATTCAGATCCATCCGTGAAGGGCTTCTGTACCCATCAAACAGAACGACATCATCGTTTTAGCTGAACGTAGCGATGTGATGAAAGTGGTCCTTAGATTTAAAGAACTGACGAGTATTTGTGGGAGGAACAGTAAATTCCTGAGTATCACTTTGACGCCTTTGTGCCAACGTTTCTTGCAGTTTCGTCAGATTTCACAGCGGATGAGAAGATGGAGATCGAGAACATCAAGACGTATAAGAAGGACCTTCTGGATGACATCCAGGTGACGTACACACAAGATGATTGTGTCCATTTGCAGAAAAAAAAAGCCCTTTTAATGTATTCACTGATTGAGTCAACTGGTTCTGCTTTTAATATTAGGGAAACCAATAAAGACTTTTTTTTTTCATCTTGTCATTTCCAGAAGTTAAAGATGGAGATTGACAATGTGATGGCAGAAATACTCAGCTTTGAGTCTGCAGAGGAAAAGTGAGTTTCATTGTGGGAAAAACCCGACGCCTACTTCATTAACCAGTCTTTATTTTTATTTGAGCTCTCCTCTCTGCTGTGAACACCCACTAAATGCTGCTGCTTAAATTTGAAATGTCAGCCATGTTTCAGTTTCAAAGTGGCTTTCCAATATTTTTTTTTCCTCCTCTGGGTGAGCAGATCTTATAGAGTATTTGTCAGCTTGTAACATGATCAAATGATTTGCAGGGCTCTGGTGAATTTCCATCCAACACGACCTTCTCATGCATGTTGTTAATACGCTTGAGTTTTGTTTTCAGCAGTTTTTCATTCGGGTAAGCTGGACAAACTGTCTGTTAGCTGTGGCCAGACAAACACAGGATGAGCTCAAACCGTTGGCTCCAGATGAATCTGAGCTTCTTTTTTGCATTCCAATATTTTGCACTGTCCATCTATATAGAGAAGGAACAGGATGCTATGTTGCTTGAGTTAGAGATTCACTGACATATGAACAAAAAACATCCTGCATCTGTAGCATTTCATAAAGTACATAAAATGCTCTGTATAATCTGGGCTAGCAGCACAAAGGTTTAATCTGAAAAGGACTCTCTGCTGTTGTTGTCTCTGGTGCATTAAACCTGTTTCTGCCACACTGTGTTAATGCCAAATACATAATTAGCAAGTACAATACCGCTGTGATGTGAATCCTGATGTTAATTTTAGGACTTTTACTTGCAAGAGTGCCTAAAAAATGTCTTTTTTTCAATGTTGTTTTTCAGCAAGACCGTAGAGAAGAGCAAACAGTTCTCAAATGGGAAGAAGAAATTCAACATGGACCCCAAAAAGGTGAGGAGAGTGTGCGTTCATGATGTATTAAGACAAAAATATCAGCACAGAGTCAGCATGCTGCACTCAAAATATCTTACTCGGTACGAAATGCTTTCTTGTTGTTCTTGTTTGACCTTGTACGTCTCACTGTCAGCTTCTTTACTAACTATAGACCTTCAGCGAACTGCTTTTGTTTGCCTCTGTGCGGACTTCCTCTCACGCCGAGTGAGTCTGAGAACTGACACTGATGAGGGCCCACAGCACAGTTTCTGTGGTTTTTGCTGGCGGGTCAAGCGCATCGCTGCTGTGAGCGCAAATGTTTGCAGCACAAATTGAATACATTCAAATTCAGGTGTGAGTTATTACGCTCATATGAAAGTGTTGATGTCTTGGCAGTGGACATTCAATCACATTAGAAGACAGTGAAGCTGTAGAATATAGAGGCGTGTACATGACGGACGGTGTATTTTTAATCGTCCTTTTCCTCTCCAAAGTCTGTGATGGAGCAGAAAGAGGAAGAGAAATTTGTTTTAAGGAATTGGGAATACAGAAGCTGTGAGCTCGCTCTATTATACCAACAGGACGTGATATCATTGTGAAACTGAGCACATTTAACCACATTCACACTGTATGTGTTGCTGCATGCGGCTCAAGCACGATGTCATAAAAATAAAAATTCTACTTACTCCTGCAAAAAAATTTTTAAAAAGCTGCGGATGCACAAACTTCCTGTAACCGCTGTATTTGCATGCAGGGCATCACGTACTTGGTGGAGAACAAGCTGCTGGATGGAAGCGCTCAAACCATCGCTGAGTTTCTCTACAAGGAGGAAGGACTCAACAAGACGGCCATCGGAGAGTTCCTCGGGGAAAGGTGAGGAGGAGGGGGGAGGTAAAGGAAGGTAAAGAATGAAAGGTGGTGAGGATGATGAGGAGGAGGAGTAGATGGAGAAGGAGAAAGAAGGAAATCCTGATAAGTACCAGAGGGGAAGAAGATGTGGAAAGTCATTACAGAGTGAGACAAAGAGGAAACCTAACAGTGGGAATTAAGAGGAGGAGGCTTATGGAAGAAAAAGCAAAGGAGGTGAGAGCAAAGTGAGAAAAAAGGCCGTTGCTGGGTGAGAAGTGGGCTGCGATGGTGGGTTTCGTCTGGAAAGTCTGATTGATTGGTTCGTCTTGTGTCCCCCCTCCGTCTCACAGGGAGGAGCTCCACCTGCAGACCCTGAAGGCCTTCGTGGAGCTGCACGAGTTCTCCGACCTCAACCTGGTCCAGGCTCTCAGGTTGGCCCCCTTTTATCCTCATTAACAGGATTCTCATTTATCACCATCATCATGATCTGAGACATTGGCATATTTGCGTCACATAGTGGATTACAATAAGATGGAAGCTTTACTAGGGGTAAAAGATGCTTCCCTCACCAGAAGGCTGCGAGACAAGAGCAGATGAGAGATTATGTGGTCATATCTGCATTTAGTTGCATCATCTTGCAGTGAAATTTATTCCATTTTTGCTGCTGGAAATATCAATTTAGCTGGAATTCTAAAGACCTCAGAGCTATCCAGTTCCATCCTGGCATTTGTGCACTCGATATTGTTAAAAATATAAAAATAAAATACAATAAAAAAGACAATATTTATTAAAATGTCTTTATGTGATGACTGAAACGATGCTACTATCGAACTAGGGGCGCTGCAACGTGCCTGTAGCATTTCCACAATAAAATTAAAATATTAAAAATTGATATCAAGTTAATAATCCACATATATCCTGCAAGAAAGAGACAAAACACACAAGTTAAAGATGCAAAGAATCTGTTCAAACATGTTCACATTTTCTTAAAACAATGTTGGTTTTGTGAATGACTCTGATAACCATCTAGTGACACTCTGACGTAGATTACAGCCGCTGAAAACAACTGTTGTCAGCAGCCACAAATGTCAGCGAGTCGCCACAATCGGTGTACGAGGGGCTGCAGCTCTCTTAGAAGCCTCAGCAGCAGTGGAAAGTTGCACTGAGCTGCCTTGTGTAAGTGACAGTGGCAGACGTTAAAAGTTACGGAGGAAAAAATGTTCATATCTTCCAACGTAAAAGCATCTCTATGTTGTCATGATGATTTCATCAGAACCATCCCGGCTGTGGATTCGTGGTCACTGACTCGTATTGGGAAGCTTGCGTCACGCGCCGGGGGTGTGAAGTTTGAAGCATGTGGGTTATTTACAGGCAGCACAGTCCAGTGAAAAGACACCACTTCCTACGAGAGAGAGCGACTGTAGGAGTTGTCGTGCCAGACGCAAACCACCGACTAAAGGTTGCGATACCGCTGCCTCTGCTGCAGCCGTTAGCGTGCTCACATGCTGGCAGCAAGACCGCGAACAGATCAAACCACCACAACGAATGAGGAGAAGAGTTCCTCAATAGCTGATCCTGTGTTCTGCAAAGTGATGTAGCGTTGAATAACTGTTTAAGTAAATCTCAAAATTGTATTGAAGAGCGCCTACGTGGTGCATCTGCAGTTTACGTACTGATCACAAACCTGAATAATGCAGGCTGCATGCAGGGGTCTCATGCTGTTGTGGTGTGTGTGTGACAGACAGTTTCTGTGGAGTTTCCGTCTGCCTGGTGAAGCTCAGAAGATCGACCGCATGATGGAGGCCTTCGCCACGCGCTACTGCGACTGCAACACTCATGTCTTCCAGTCCACTGGTTAGCTCACTAAATATACATACATCTACCTCCTGCGTGTCTGTCTGTTCTTAAATGACCACATCGTCTCTCTGCTTTTATCTTTCTGACTTTCATACCCTCTTTTTGCTTCACGGATTCTGCCTTTGCTACTTGACTCGATTCTATGTGGTGCTTCCTCTCATGGTGTTTGTTCTTGTCAACACTCAGACACGTGCTACATCCTGTCTTTTGCCATCATCATGTTGAACACCAGCCTCCACAACCCCAACGTGAAGGACAAAACCACCCTGGAGCGTTTCTTCTCCATGAACAGAGGCATCAACAACGGGGAGGACCTGCCCGAAGAGCTGCTCTCGGTGAGGAGTTCCAGCCAATCACAGTGGCCGAACTAGACACCAGGAAGCAATTATTGATTTAATATCGGTCTACTTTTTATTTGCAAAGGGACAAAGAGCGTTTGTTACCATTCAACTAAATGTGCTTGAGTATAGCCATGACGGGAATTTTCATCTAGAGCACCATTAGTCATCCAAAAATAACTGGAAATGAACTAAACAGCTATTTTTACCATCTCGACTTCATTCAAGCTTTTGCAGTCTTTTATTTTTTGTTTCATTTTGCGTTGGTTCCCCACAATTGTTATGTGAAATACAAATCCCACATCCCCATTTCTTTACTTTGTAGTTGTAAAAACGTAATTTTATTCTCTGTGTTTATATTCGTTGTAATGAAATCCATGGTGACAGCGTGGCTCGTTGTTTTGTTGGGTCTCTACGGCAGAGGGATGTGACGCATCAGGCGTTAACTGCAGAGGCGATATTTTGTTCGTGGAATCAATACGTTGTTGGTTTCTAAGTTTAAGTCAGTTTGCATGGTGACACTGGGGTGTAGACGTCTCATCAGTATAAGGTGCCAAATTGAGAGTAGGAGGATCATTCAGTACGTACAAATGAGTCCCACGGCTTGATTTTAAGTAATTCCTAAATTGAGTTAAAATTGTGAAGAGAAAATCAATAAAAACAAAAACGAATGTCGACATTAGGTACAGTAATCAGGAAGTAAAACCACAGAATGATTCCCTGTTTGAGAAAACAATACCGCTATCTCACAGTTGCTGGCTGCAAGTGAAACACGCCGACAAACCACGGCGATGTCGTTCTCATGCCCACTTTCTCATGACGGGCCAGTCACAACGAGGTGGCATGAGATGATGACGTTAGACAGCATCCCAGACTGTTAAATTAAATATATGTGAACACGCTCAATGAGAACAGCTCATTCATTCTGTCTCTAGAAACCACACATATGTGCACGTTTGAATGAAAGATGGCAGTTTAGACCTGTTTAGAAATGTGCCTTTTTTGTCTTAGATTGTGAAGCAGCTTAAATTCCAAATTTTCTCAACATGTTGAAAAAAATGCATTTAAAGGGGGAACTATTGGGTCCATTCCAACTCAGTATTTCTATTCTGGGGTTTCACAAGAGTAGCTTTGTACGAGTCCTTTCGCCATTTACGCGGCCTCTCAGTTAATCCTCTGCCTGTCTGAAGCAAGTTGTCTCAGGTTCTGTCTCTTTAAAAGTCAACTGTCTTCTGATTGGCCGTCTTCTGGAAGCCTGCCGAGGGGCAGCAGCAGAAGAAAAAACAAAACCGAGCCAAAAAATTGGATTCATAGAAATTACTTTAACATACATAAAGGTCAATTATAATTTGAATATCCAACATTGTAACATTTTATATACACTACATGACAGAAAATGAGGAAAAGCTTCATACATTCCTTTAACAGATTCATTTGTTGATCGTATTTAATCTCTTTAACTGTCCTCTCTACTCAGAAACTGTACGAAAGCATACGCAACGAGCCTTTCAAAATCCCAGAAGATGACGGGAACGATCTGACTCACACCTTCTTCAACCCGGACAGAGAAGGCTGGCTCCTCAAACTTGGTAAACTGTCTTTTCAGCACATCTGGGACACACACACATAACCACCAATATTCATAAATCAGACAAAAAGAGGTCAAGTGTGACATATCGTCTTTGACCAAACTGCAACCTAATGTCAAAAACAGGAAAGTATAGAGGAAGCACTACGAACATGACCCAATATCGGAACACACCGTCAGCGCGTTGTGCATTTGCGCAAAGCTGTGTCGGTGGGAGGTTGCGCAGATCTGTAACTTTGCTCAAATAACATCTGAGCATTTTTTGTGTCAGCTCGCCGAGAGGTTACACGACATCTGAACACGTCTCTAGTAGCAGGTGGCAGCACCACGAATAACCGTCTACGCTCTTTGCTGTCTCTGTATTCCAGGAGGTCGAGTGAAGACGTGGAAGAGGCGATGGTTCATCCTGACTGACAACTGCCTCTACTACTTTGAGTTCACCACTGTAAGGCTCATGTACTGTCATCACCCTGAGAGATTTCAAAGCCACAGAATTCCTCTCATCACTTTTTATTCTTTAGATGTTTTTTTTCCTTCCCAGGCTGATAAAGGCGTTAATAGCTAGAAACACACTTTATGTTTTCTTAATTTACTTACTATGTCGGTTGTTGGGAAAAATCCTAAATTCTTCCATGGCGTCACAAAGCTTCTTACACAGAAGGTCATTGAATGATCGGCTTTACTTGAGCACCAGAGGTAAAGGTTTCTTTCCATTACTGTGGCGACTTCTACCGAGAAGCTCTAGTGGTAGAAACTAAACCAGACCTCAACCACAGAGGTGACTGAGCAGAACGCTCTCATGAGCTTGTCTTCGGAAGTCATGTCGTTTACAAGAAATGTTGTCGACATGGTCCAATAACATATGGCCACATGTAAACTACCTCTTGTTTGATGCAACATAGTCCCTTGGTGTTATTTTTTATGCCAGACTTCCCTTATGCTCTGAAACAGACATCATAAAACCAAAGCCAAATGCTCTAGTCTCGTCAATGTCGTTCTTTTTTTAGGTAGCTGTTAGGTCGGGCAGGATTTGTCACTGACGATTCAGAAGAAGGTTGTTGTGGAAGAGAAAATGTCGCATTCTCATGTGAACGGGTTTATTTTAACCAAAACCCTGATCTGTTGGTAAACTTTAAGATGTAGTTTTGGTTCCTGAACTTAACCAAATGGCTTAAGTTGCCTAAACTACTGAAATAAAAAAGAGAGTTATACAAAAACAACCCTAAATACTAAATCCACTTTGTCAAAAAGTAACTGTCCCAAACAGGACAGTGGTCTGGGTCAAGCTTCCATGTTTGACTTATGCCAACACCTTTGATGGTCTTCCCACTACCTCACCTGGTTAAATGTTTATTGAGAGCAGTGGTTCTCAAACTTTTTGAGCCATGACCCCCAAGGTAGATAAGTTTGTGTTCATGACCCCCCAGTTTGAATTTTTAATATGGCGTGAGTAATAACTTTGGTATTCATACATTAATGTGTTAAAAATTAATGTGTTAATTTCAAAGACTAGACTCTTTACATGAATTTTCTTTTAAATGAACAAATGAATGAATGAATGAATGAATGAATGAATGAATGAATGAATGAATGAATTGAATTTATTTCGAACAAATAAAAGGAAAAAAACCCAAAAGAAAACAATTTTAAAAAGAGCAAAAAAGCATAATAATATCGCATAATCAAATCATAATATTAACAAGTTTGAGAAAGTAGTGGGAAGAAGTATACACTTTTGATATTGACAGCAATAATACAAATTTATTTTAAAAATTTAGGCTTTATTTATTTATTTATTTATTTATTTAACAATGATCTGGCGACCTCCTGAAATGATCTTGGGACCCCAATGGGGGTCCCGACCCCCAGTTTGAGAACCACCAATCTAGAGTGTCAGCAGTTGCACTACCCAGTGTATCGCTAAACTGATGCAACAGGGCTCTGCAGTGTTTAAAACGTGGTGCGTAGGAGCCGCTAACCGCATTCACATGTGATGTGCTGGGAGTGAGAATGTGTTGATTTTGTAACAGGCAAATTACAAATGAAATCTTTCAACCACCATTCATGTTTAGTGTGAAGTTGACATTATCTTGTCCAGGCCTTGAATTGTAAAAGCAATCCTTGTTTTCAGAAGTATGGGCTCATGATTCTCCATCTCTTCTGCTTCCCTTTTTCTCCTGACGCCAGTGACTTTTTTATTCTCAGCTCTTCCTTCTTGTCCTCCTGATACACCACCTGACTCTGTCCATCTCTTTTTTTAATCCGTCTGCAGGACAAAGAGCCCAGAGGCATCATCCCTCTAGAGAATCTCTGCGTGAGAGAAGTGCCGTATTCTCGCAAACCGGTGAGATTCTGTTCACATCGACACACGTGTCGGAAAAGTTGATTGAAATAAACTGATTTTGGAGGTTTTGTGTGAACAGACACAGTCGATAGCTTCATGGATTTATAGATTTACCGTCATGTTGACGTTGTGTCTGGTGTCGTCTAGTACTGTCTGGAGCTGTACAACCCCAACAGTCGAGGGCAGAAGATCAAAGCATGTAAAACAGAGACAGACGGCCGGGTGGTGGAGGGGAAGCACCAGTCGTACACCATCTGTGCTGCCAGCGCCGAAGAGAGAGACTCCTGGATCGAGGCCATCAGGTTCATTCAAACCCACAAACACATGCATGTTGATGTACATGAAAGCTGGTGCATGGACTTTCCATGAAGCATGTTTGCATGACTCTACTCGTGAGGGCCATTCGTTCCCTGAACATCTTTGCGTGTTACCTCTAGTGTGGAGGAAAAGCATCGCAGTACTGCCTCTGTGGGTTATAGTAGGAGGCCACATCAAGATCATTTGTTACGCCATACGATAAAGTTATGTGGCACACAGGATGTGGAGACGGCATGTGGTCAATAGTGGATGGCAGTGTAGGCAATATTATCATGCAAGACATCTCATTTGGGGCTCAAACTACAGGTATGTCAGGCCAAGTTACCTCGCCGAACAATCAGAGTAGAGATGTGGTCTCGAACTGCTCGTCTGGGTGTTTACAGTTTGCAAAATCATCATGGCTGCCCCAGTAATACCAACATGTTGGATGGTAACACCACCGCCCTGAGCAGCCGACGCTGTTGTCAGACAAGCCTAAACATTCGTGAGACTAATGTTAGCAACAGATATTAAAACTAATCTTACTTCACTTCTCGTGCAACAAAAAAAAGACAACTTCCCAAACATTTTCTCATGCAGCCTCGTTCTGCTTTTGCTTTGTTTTTTTCTCACTACAAAGTGTCATCAGCATTACAGTGCGTTGTTGCACCACAGTCTTGATGCTGTTTACATCTGCCTCCCCGTGAGACGGCTTCTTGAACTGCTGCCTCTGGAACGATAATCTTGACAACAGCCTGTAGCGTGTGAAGAACGTCTGTGAAGTTTCACCATGCGTATGATGCAAACCGAGTTTAGCATCTGGAGCGTGAGCAGAGCGTTCGACAGGAGTGGATAGCATGACTAACTGTAGAAAGGAGAAGTCTGGGTTTTTATAATCTTATATCTAGTATATTACTTCTTAACACAGAGATTAAAAACCTGTGAAAGCGGCCACTTTTCTTTGATGGAGTTCAGTCAGACGAGGACATGTTCAGAATAACGTACAGGTTGTACACGGACCCTGAGTAGTCTGATGCAAATAGTTTATTAGGTTTTGTCGAGCACCTGTTTGTGCAACAGTGAATATTTTCTTCAGATTGCTTCGTAATTTACAACCAGGAAATATGAAACTGTGACTAAAGCAACCAAAATAACTCCAAATATCCTGAAATTTCACATAAGAGTAAAAAAAAAAAAATGTAATCCAACTTTCCCACGACATGACCACTTGCCTACATCCAACACAGAGCAACGACAGCATTCATTTGGAGTCCACCTGATGAATAAAACTCCAATATTCACTCTCCTTTTTGCTATGTTTTTGGTCTCCACCAGGCAGTTAGTGAGACAAAAATCTGCCTCTTCAGTTGATTCATTTGTTCACTAGTGCTAACTTTATCCGCCTGCTGTTGCCTTCATAGACGCCTCTCACAGTGGGTTTTATGACGTTTGCTCTACAAACAACAGTCTAAAGTGGTGCTAATTGCAGTGAGAGGCATTAAAACAGCAGAATAATGGCTATAGAAGCCACAACAGTGAGCTGGAAGAACCATGAAATGGTCTTAACTGTTTTGGAGTTAAGTATGGACTTGCTCTGCTACAAATGGGTGCAAATATCAGGTTCCAGTTTCAGAAAGAGAGATCATGACTAGATGAAAAAGCAGTAATTCAGAATGATTGTTTCTTTTGCTTCTCAGGACATTTAGGCCTCACAAATAACACACAACCACGGTCATGTTTCTGTTCCTTCACGGGGCATTATGTCAACCTACCAGACCCTAACCCTTCATATAAACTTAACCTAAAGCTAACCTAACCGTGACCTTGAACCAAACCAAAAGCTGTTGGACTGATATCTTGTCTTTGGTCCCAAAAACCGAGTCAGGTCATGTAAACAGACTGCACACAGGCAGATACTGCATTATTATTTGTCTAACGACCGCTACCTTTACTTCCAACAGAGCGAGCATCACCAAGGATCCGTTCTACGACCTGGTCTCAATCCGCAAGAAGAAGGTGATAAACCAAACTCCTCAAGACTGAGCGAGCGGCGCCTCGGCACCGTGGAGGCTCCACGCTGTACTGCACCGCTGTGGGATTCTTCCGTCTGTTTTGAACATCCTGCAACACAACCGAGCGAGGACACCGGAGGCCAGACAGAGACACGCCGCCGGGGGGTCGCTCGGGCTAAAAGAGGGACTTCTCTTTCCGACTTCTCTTTTCGCAGGCCGAGAAAAAAAAACAAAAAACGGTGTGAAAGGTGAAAAACTCACTGACTCATTTGTGTCACCTCTAAGGATCTGCAGGCAAATAGCTGTATTTTAATCTTTGCTGGAGGATGTTGTCGGCCCAAATTTCTGTTTTTACAGATGTTTTCTAGTCGTTGTGTAATTTACCGCAGTTTCTTATCTCATCTGCCATGCGAGGTTGGGTTTGGGGTTTTTTTTTTTTGCAGTGGCTGTCTGAGTTTCTCAGCTCAGGAAGATAAATCAAGCACGTCGTTCCATGAAGCCTAAAAACGGCGAGACGTGCTCGTCTCAGCCCCACAACAGTTCTCAGGAGGCTGAAAGGTGGACGCTCAGTGGTAGTAACTGTAAACTGCTTTTGCTTCTGTTGTGTTACAAAAGCTTAGCTGGACTGGGTGTCATCTGAGCTTAAGAAGTTGTACTAATAGAATTTGATGTAAATATGTTTTTGGGGATTTACTCAGTTGTTTTGAACTTTATAGCGTGATGTTTTATTTTCCTCGACGTGCAGAAGAAGCCCACATGTTTTCACGTCACAGTGCAATAAGTGCAGCACACGTCTGCATTATTATACATTTACTGTTTATACTGTAATATTTGAAGGGACTCTTTTTCGTTGTAACTACTTTATGAACTATACCACTGTAAGTACTGTTTTGTTCTGTTCTTATTATTATTTAATAAAAGAAAGTTATTCGGATGACTGTTGACGTGCAGAAGTGGATCTTGTTTTTAAGGAGCAGCTGTGTTCTCGGTCGACTGCGCTCTGAAACATCGCGACCACACCTTACTTCCTCATATTCACAATTTCTTTGTGTTTGTTGATAACGCTCGCTTCTTCACATCCTCACATGCGCTGCCTGGGCGAGGCGTTTAAACCACCTTTGCGGTCGATTGTGAGATCGTATCAGGGAGCTTGAAAACAGTCAAATTATAGCTATTTTGTCAAACCAACAGGGTTAATGTTCAGTTTTCTTATCATTGATCACCTGCTCTGGTATTAAAAGATGATTTGAAGTAATCATTTTGGACAGGTTTAAATGAGGACTTCTCCATAAGCATGATTTTGCTCATTTATTTTGAAAACTGGGCTAAATTTGGTTGAAAGGGAAAATGTGGTTTTAGGCTGACAGGTTTGGTGACGGTTTGTGTAGCACTTCCCAACCACAGACTTAAACACTGTTGAAATAGTTCTAACTACTGTTAAAGTTGTAATACCTGATTTTGACTGTATTTTCACTTGTAAATCACCAGATCCAGTCTGAAGTGGCTGCACCTCGTAAACACACCATCACCAGACTTTGTATAAAAGACATCTGAAGTTTTTATTAACAATCAAAATCTAGTTTACATTTAGCATCATGCATGGTTTTATTTTTTTCCCTTTAAATATTCATTACACATTGAGTCTTTGACATATTTTGAAACCTGGTTTGTTTACATCAGCTTGCAGCCTTTGTCTTCACTCCTATTAGATAAATTGAAGGTGCATCACTACACCTGCAGTTTGGTTACTGGTACAAGTCACCTTGAAATGAAACGACCTTTACCTTTTGGATGAATGCTTCAGGATGTTTCTCTGCTGCTCTGCCGTCTGTCATGAATTCTAGACTCAAGACGAGGAGCGTCGGAGAATTTGTACGGTTTGAAATCACAACTCAGAACACATTTGTGTAGAAAAGCAAATGTACTTAAACTCAACTGTAATCCACTCATGATATATAGACTTTGAACTTATTCTTGTTGCTTATGGATAATGTTACATGCAGAGTGGAAGGTGTGTGTGTGTGTGTGTGTGTGTGTGTGTGTGTGTGTGTGTCTCCACCTCCCTCCTGCAGGTGGGAATTAGAAGACTGGCTGCCACCTGTGAGCTCCTGAGGCGCAGAGGATTGGCTCACACTCTGGCCAGTTAGCCAATCAGGACAGAGGAAACCCCTTTAAAAGCCCTCTTGCCCCTCTGGTCTCCCCCTCTTGCTTTGCTGCCATTTGAATCCTGCTGTCAGCTTGGAAGGTTTGTGGTGGGAAGGTAAAACTAATACTGGGCACCCTGTACATGTAGTTTTGTTATTCCACTAGGTTGTAGGTCGGTGCCACCATTGTAAGTTTTTATTCGGTATGATAGCCAGGCCTTTTGTTTTCCTTTTCTTTCTTCACAGGAAGAGCTGAGTTCGGCCCTGTTTTGTTAGATTTTATTTCTCTTGTTTGGCCCACAGTTGACCCTTCCCTCACATTTTTGAAACCTCCATTTTGTGTTAAGTCAAAAAACTGTAAATAAACGCTATTTTTTTCACTGCCTTTGAGTTCTTCCTTCCTTGGTGGTCAGTGTTATCGTTTGTTTGCTTCTTGTAGGTAGAAACATAACAGATAATGTTCTGTTAAATGCCAATAAATACAGTTTTCATTATTATTATTATCATTATCGTTACTGTAGACATTTTGATTAGTTTCAGCAGGAGAGTCAACAGTGTCACTAACAAAATTAACCAAGGCTCTGTTTTGGTAACTCAAAAGGCCACAATACATGACACTAGTGCTTTATTTTTTTTTTGCACATATATTTGAGTTGATAGCAACACCTGCGCTTTCTCTGCTAAAACTAGTAAACATGTCCGCCGTGACCCAGTTACAGCTGCAGCGTTTCTGGGTAAAGATTACAATTAAAGCATCGCACGAAATAATGTGTGTCAGTAGAATCAGCCTATAAATTGGTGTGAGAAGTCTCTTCCTGCTGCAGCTTCAGCTTCCTGTTTCAGTATTGCACCACATCCCGCTCGCAACACCCCCCTCCCACTTCCCCCCCTTCCACCCTCGACTCAGCCGTGGGTATTAGTCAGGCCCGTGGTTCCTCTCAGAGAAGAGAAGCCGAGGGAGGCAGCTAGCGGTCGCTTTGAGCATCGCAAGCAGCAGCACTTTAAATGCTGGAGCAGCCTACTGCTGCCTGTCTCCACCAGGAGAGGCTGCAATCCAGGTAATGTCAGAACAAATACCTTCAGCAGGATTCCTCAAACATCTGGCCCTTCTTCAATGCAATTAGATATTTTTTAAAAAGGTTTCGTCTTTTGAAACTTGTGTTTTTCTTGGCTAACCTTTTCACAACATGAGCATTTTTCTGGCTTAAGTTAGTTAAATATCTTAACCTACTATAAAAAAGTAAAAACTGAAATGTAAGTGAAGCAACACATCTGTTGTATGAATATAAAACTGATAATCATTGAACAATCCAAATGTCTCTATGGTTTCTCATCTGAACCAATACAATAACCGCAAATGGCAAAAAATATCCCACGATTTATTAGTGCGTCAAACAGATATTAACATCAATTCTTAGCAACATTCAGTTACAGATAAATTACAACATAAAAAATAATGAAAATCTTTACAGTGCAATGCAGAACACACCTAACGGCCCACACTGACAGCTCACTAAAAAGGTTAACAACGAGGTTCATAGCTGCTCCACTCCTATTTTGTTCCATTATACGTATTTATTTTGTTATGTAATTGTTTGTCAGGGCTTTGGATTCCTTATTCTAGGAGGAGCGAGAAGCAAAATCATCAAGTATGGAAATGTGCCGCTTTAAAATAAATAACAGTAATGCCTGATCAGGGAGAGTCCAGTCTGCTTCCATGTCTCTCTGCCGTTTACATGTTCGTGCATCATTTGTAAACTCAGATATTCAACATTTTGTCCTTAAAGCTGTGAACTCAAAAAGCAAGTGATCACCAGGAAATCTGATTAAATCTTTCTGCACCCACCCAGGGCGACACGTATCCCACAGTACTGATGACGACTGATTTGACATAAAAACTGCACGTGCATATGCAACCGTTACCTGAAGGCCTGTACATTCATGTGGTCCAGATAAAACACAATATTGCACATTCATTTGTGACGTTAGTGTCGAGGAAGTCATTTTGTAATCCATTCTGTGTGAACGACTTCTGAGGTCGGAAACGGGCGTCAGGTTCAGATCAAGACACTGTGCACTCTTTCTTTCCTCGATGTGGACTCTTAATGCCTATGAGAAGAAAAAAAAATATGAATAGACACTGGTGAGGCAACACTGTCAAGAAACCAACATTATTATATGAAAGTTACTTTGGTTTATTTGCTATGAAATAAAAGCGATAAAGGGTTAAACAATGCTCCGAACTTCTTGGTGTGTGAAGCTTAAAATAAAGAGACAATCTGTGATTTACTGTAACCTGTTGCATACCTGCAAATTATGTCCAAGACAAAGCAGCACAAGATTTTTTTTTTATTTCCTACATTTAAAAACAACAACAACTAAAAACCTCTCTCTGCCTTCTTATCCTGGTTGTTATTAGACTTGGACTTTTAGGCCTCGTCCACACGTAATAGGGTGTCTCACAAAACGAAGATATTTTTCTGCGATGTGGCCTGTCATCCACATGAAAACGCAGATTTACGGCATTAAAAACGATTCTTTCAAAAACCTCCGACCAAAGTGAAGATCTGTGAACCCTCTGTTTATGTGGACGTCAACAACTGGGTTCTAGGTTTCGAAACGTCACTGCCTGCAACAAAATATGTTCTTTACATCACATATGCGACCTGTGTTTACATTTGGAAGCAGCGTGGACGCCCTCAGAACTGTGTTGTCTCTGGTCCAGGCCCAGATACCGCTCCATGTACAAGAACACAGGCGAAGGACAGTTATTTCCCGCCACCTTGCCATTCCACGTCCGAGGCATGTTCTCCGTCAAAGACACCGACGCTGGTTTTGGGTCAGACCACTGCTAGTTGGTGGGAGAACTTTGAGACGGAGGAATGGCGTGACAATTTCCGTATGTCCTGGTCGTCGCTCCTGTCGTCGGAGTTATTACATCCTCGCGTACAATATGAATTAGCTTTAAAACACACTAATGCAGTTAGGTGTGGATTAACTATTTTCTAAAAACGAGGTGGTGTGTACGTTAGTTTTTTTCTAGACGGAGGAGGGAGGATATTCGGTTTAACAAAAACCCTGCTACGTGTGGACAAGACCTGAGCGATTTTTGTTTTACCTTCATTTTGTACCCTACACTAATATTCTGTGCTGTCTTTTTGCTTTGTTTAACCCTTTTGTTGAATATTCATGCTGCTGTAACAACTGAATTCCCCTCTGGGATTAATAAAGTCAGTCTAACTCTGTGATGTGAATCCTAAGATTTTTCTTTTAATGTACATTTTAAATATGTCCGACTTACTCTCGTTGTCCTGTGCAGCGTTGACAGCTTGCTCAGACGCAGTCCTCCGGCCCAGTTTCGACTGTTTCTTATTCCCTTTAGACGGAGATAACACGACCACCTCAAAACTGTCCTCAATCTCATCAGTCTGATTATCTTCTGTGGGCGAAGGGCACGCATTGCTGTTCACAGAAAGCTTACTGGGAGATTTCCCCGGACAAAATTTCTTCTTCCACGTAAACCGCCCCTTTTTCTCCTGCTTGATTGGCTTCTTAAGGCTTTCACTGAGGGCTTCTGAGGGCGGCGGACCCATCCTCTCACTGCTGGTCAGTCGTTGCCGCTCCGGCTCCACCTCCCAGGGAACCTCAGCCAGCACTGAACCCCTCTTAGGTCCTCGCTCCTGTAGAGATCCTGGTGGACGTGGAACATCTCCAAACGCCAGCGCATATTTGGGGTTGTAGTATTTGTGTGCAGGCACCTGGATGTCGGCTTTCGGTGAATCCCCCAAGCTCACCTGGAAGCGCGATGTGGTCGCTGGTAATATGGGGCGTTTGGGTTCCACTTTGGAACGAACCGTGACGGTCCTGTTAGCAGCCGGCGGGCTCACATGAAACTCCTTGTAAAGGTCCAGCTTCTCAGAGATGGCGTACAGCTCTCGGAAGTCCCGGTCAAAGAAGTCGACCACCTGCCCCGTCATCACAGTGATCATGTTTCGGTCCATACGAGACGTGCACCAAGTGAAACTGGAACAATGAAAAGATTAACAACAGTTAGAAGCTTCCATTAGCTGCACAGCAAATATTAAAATCATCAGTGCCGAAACCAGGCATCAAACGGACTTGGATCGTATTTTTGTGGTGTTGTGACCATTTCTGTATTACTACTAGCCTCTACCTTTCTGTTCATTATGCAGGAAGTATGATGTCGCTTGTTAAGTTGGTCCATCTTTTTGCTCCAGACTGAAATATCAAAACAACTGCTGAATGTACCTCCATTAAAATAGTCCTGATTTGGTGATTTGATGGCAGAGACCTAAGGGTGCATGAATCCATTTACCAGCAAGCTTCATCTCCTTCATTTAAATATACAGTCGTGACTCGATAATCGGACCCTAAATGTAAAACCTTCTTTTATGTCGGATAGCAAGGCTGTCGGATTGTCAAGACGGAGGTCGAGATACGAGGAGGGCTTGATGCTGGAAGGCTCATTAGTTGTTAATTATTGTTCATAGTTGTTTTAATAACTAGTAGGGCTGGTCGCAATAGCACTTTCTGGTCTCTGGATGTTCAGGCCCAATTAATAATGGACATCCGAATATTTGGTGCGGTCGGGGGGACCACTGGGGGAGCACTCCAACGGGGTGGAAGTGGTCGGAACGCACAGGCAGTACTTGGCTGCTGATGCCAGTTTAGTTAGTGGTCACAGTTCTGTTTCCACCATCAGTGGCGACGGCAGGCGAGTGGCAGATACGCTCCCCTGCCACCACCCATGTTTATTTCTGTAAACACTGAGCACGCTCACTGCGTGTGATGTCATTGTTGTTTTTGGATTGTTAAGGATCAGATGATCGAGTCACGACTGTAAATCTAAATAAAGGTGAAAATGCTAAAGACAACTTGTACTGACAGTAGTTGTCCTTCAAGGCTGAATCCTGCTGGCTTTGGTGTAGTGGTACGAACATCTTGATGTTTTCTTGTCTGTGAAATTTGGTCTCAATATTCAGGATGAAATACAATAATGTTTGTGGTCCACTGGCATTTTCTCCAATGCTATTATCAGGTAAAAAAAAAAAAATCCAATCAATGCTTTTGTTAATGAGCAAATGCTTGCAAACCCGCTGACACTCTCACCGACCTCCGCTGTGAGCTCACTGCTAATGAGCAAAGGTTAGCATGCTAATGTGCTAAACCATGACCTGTCAAATGTCGGCACACAGCGACAAACACTTAGCCAGTGACACAAAGCCAAGATTAAGTTCGGCAGTAAAACCCAACATAAGTCATTTATTTACCGATCTAAAACCCTGCCAATCATAACCAACAGCACACAGTTGAGTGCAAACACAAATAGCAAAGATCACATTTGCATCAGATCAGCCGATAAACTACAGTAGTATCTTACATTGGGTTACTACTACAACTTTTTCCTTCTAACGTCTAACTTACAGTCTGTATGATCATTTGACTGGCATGTTTTTTTCCCTCCGTCTTTGTCTTTTTAGTGACGTCGTCAAGTTAATTGCTGACGTCCCAGAACTCAGCAATTAAATTCTCTCACAAAGCTTTGGTGAAAGCAGACAAACAGGTTTGCTGCAGGTGTATTCTGGCCACACCGATGTGGAAGCTGGCCATGGACAGGTGTGTTTTGTTGGACTGCAATGCAATGTGATACGCCTCGGTGCACAGCAGCAGAGCATGCAGTAGCTATTATTTATATTGGTTTTATTTCAACGGGACTACTGTTAGAGTGAGTGCAGGTACTCTCTGAAGACGCCTGACGTGACTTTTATACATTTCTTAAGCACCAAGACTTGATAGGAGCAAATTATTATTAATATTTTATAGGTTTTTTGATGGTGTTTGTTTCTGTCTATGTGATGCCTTGTCACGTTGGTGAAAGTTGCATTAAACAGCAAAGTCATACACACAAGCCTCACCTGTAGGAGCCAAACATGACTTTGTCTCCATCTACCAGCATGTATTTATTAGAGAGCGACCCGGGGAGTCTGCCGAAGGACAACCCGAAGCCGATTCCTTGCAGCGTTCTGGCCCTGATGTTCTGTAACGACAGAGGGTGTAAGTCAGGCCGTGAACAGGAAACAGCACAGTTAAGAGGGTCAGACTGCACCGAGGCTGAAAATAAACACAGTTGATAGTTTCAAAATCAGTCCACCTTCACTTCTTACAGGCTGCCTACAGAAGGAATTATTCTGCAGCATTGCCAAGTCAGCTGTATGTTCCAGTTATCAATCAAGTGAATGCTCGGATGGATGTTTGCTTCATCTCTGACCTCTCTCTCCTTTTCTTTGCAGGCCTCCACCAGCATGTTGTTTCAGGTTATGTGGTTTTGCTTTGCATCTGTTACAAGCTACACTACATTCATTACTGACTTTTACTCTTCCTATCATTGTGAAGCAGAATTCACCAAGCCTTGGATTGTTCACCCACTAACAGAGAACGTGAGCTAGGATTAGACCGTCGTGAGACAGGTTAGTTTTACCCTACGGATGATGTGTTGTTGCAATACCAATCTGCCCAGTACGACAGGAACCTCACCTGTTAATGACACCGCTTTCAAGGAAGGCCTTGCTCCACGTATTGTAATAAACAATAAATCAACAAGACAACCCCACCACCCTTTGAACAACCGATCTTACGATGCTGCACGTCTTACCCGAAGATGCTGTGCGCCGATCTGCAGTCTGGAGCACATATCTAGGAAGTGTGGCACGCCTTGCTCGTCCAACAAGATGTAAACGGGCACAGAGCGACGGAAGGCTGCATCCATCAGGTCCTGCAGTATTTGGATGTCTGTCAGCAAGTCCATCACGATCGCTATCACCTGGAAAAGATGCAGATGAATACGTTTTAAAGTACTACTACAACAATGATGTGAAAACACACAGGGGCCTGGATAAGTGCTGGGTGACAACATAATGTAGTTCAAGGTGTACTCAAAGAAACGAGTGGCAGCGTGTTCACCCATTTATTGTGCTAAAACAAACAAGAAATGCAGAACACGACATAAAACATGTACACGCAGAGCCCACTGAAATTCACAGAACATTACCAACGCAGCGGCAGAAAAGAAAAATGTGTTGTGACATGTGAAAAACCTGAGTGTCAGCTTGTCATGCCACCTCTCAATAGGAAAGGAAAGAAATCAATGCACCACTTAAGGGCAGAATGCCTCCTACAGCGCTAACAAAGAACCACGAAGTGAAGCTAATCTGTCCAACTGAAGCACTTCGCCACCTGCTAATACTCCAACCTTGAAAGTACAGTCATGAAGAAAGCCTTCGCTGCAGGTCATACAAGAGCAGAGAGAGTCTCTGTAGTGTCCCGGCGCTGTGTTCCAGTCAGAGCTGACGGATCATGCAGATAAAGCTTTATAGCAACAAAAGGAGATCAACTGGGGAATTTAGGACTTAAGTCTGTCTCTGTCTTAAGAAACGCTTCCATAAAGACTTTGCTTTCTCCCTCTCTCAGCGCTGGGATTAGCAGAGGGTTACACATCACTTTTACCAAATAAAGGAATTCCTTTCCTGCTTGTGTACGTAGGCGAAGAAAAAAAAAGGCAGTTTCAAAATGATTTGTGCAGCTTTTAACTATAAGTGTTAAAAATCACTGCTAAATAGAAAAATGACTGATTAATACATCAACATCCATCCATCCATTATCTATACACCGACTAATCCTCATTATGGTCGAGGGAAGCTGGAGTCTATCCCAGCTGACTCAGGGTGAAGGCAGGGGACACCTGGACAGGTCACCAGTCTATCACAGGCAAAATATTAAATGCAACAATCTGCTCGGTCAATAATTAGTTCACCTCTGGTCTGTTTTAGTCAAGCTACGTAGACCAGACTGTACAAACAGATGACCAGACATGGCATTGTGACTCCCTGCAGGTTAACAAGACGGTCTCTTAGCAGCGTTGTAAAATGAAGTTTATAGGAAAACAACAGTCAAGGCCACAGCTGTATGTTCTGGTGTTATACTGTAAAAGATCACGCGAGGACAAACAGAACCCAGGTGGTCTTTGGGGAGGATTTGGGGAAATGTGCGTTACTCAGCTGGTTCTTTGAAAAGCAAAGTTGTGGAGGAAAGTATCTCTTTAAATCAGCAACAAATGTTCCTCTGTGAGGGAGAAAAGACCCACTGTTTCCACTCAGTGTGTCACTGAGGAAAAATGCTGAGTGGGCCTGGAACAACGGGGAAACGAGCTGAGACTTGTGGACAGCAGACTGAGAACTGGATCATCACTATCACGCAAAATGAGGAGAAAAAAGGTTATCAAGAGAAATTTAATATCGTTCTATCTCAGATAAACATACTTCCTGGAGAACTGGTTGCTCAGCATGTGTATAAGAGGAGCTGATAAGCCAAAACAAAGCCGGTTGGTTTGTTAGATTCCTTCTTGGACACCACCTGCTGTGTATTTATCTGTCTTCCTCTTCATCTGACAACTTTTGGAAACACCCACTAAAATAAAATGTTTTAAAAAACCTTCAAAAATAGGTGTACTGTAAATATAAATATATAGAGGGTGTCAGTTTTTATTCCTGGTTGGAAATGACCTGAATGAAAAGCAGAGTAGCAAACAAAACACCCAGCTGACGTAAACCTGCTGTATGACGGAAGTGACGAGGCAATAAAAGAAAGGCACGACAACCAGGGAACAAGGCATTGTACACACTGTAAATCACTAATGAGACAAAGGGAAACACCAGTGATCTTGTTTTACCACTTGAAATACTTCTGAGGAACTGCATGAGCTGATCTGTAACCAGGAACAAAGGAAGGTGAGCGTCTAAGAATGTGAGGAGGAAAGTCATAAAAAGCAAAACAATTAAAGAGAGGAACACAAACAGTCAGCATCAAATAAAGGAAGGAATGAGGAGGTAAAGAAAAAGAAGAGAGAGTTTTTCTGGAGAAACACAAGTTGTGCAACAAAGCCAATTAAAAAAACCCTGAGTGAGTATTTGACACATGCTCCAGTTGTGCTCCATGACCCAGTTTGAAGGAGGCAGAATGAGGCAGGGTGAGCCCAGCAGGGCTCGTCACTGCTTTGCTGTGAGCAAGCGGAACAGATGACTCAGCTCAGCTCCGGCAGTCTATGAGTAAACAGTACAAGCGGTGACTCGGACCCACTTCAGGCTCTCAGTGACTGTGTGAGGGGGTATTAATCACAAACATTCATATGTCCTGCCCCGGCCTTATGCAGCTAAACGGAAAACTGCAGAGGGCATCCTGGCTTTGGAGTTGTTACATGATCCAGTGTCCACTTCTTCTCTGGGGCTGTTTTCTACGGTTTGAGCCCCGTTAAAGTCTATAAACAGGGTAGTTATGTTACACTACATGATGATGTAATCAGCAGTGTG